GGAGGAGCAGCGGCCCTTCCCCGAGACCCCGGCTCCGAGCGCGAAGCCTCCGGGCTCCTCCACTCGGGTGACCTCCTGTCGGTGCTGTTTAGGGTTCCGCTGGCTGCCGTCGGCGACTCGGCCCCGTGGCCGCCCCTGTCCCCCGGCCGCCCCTGCCCTTCGCTCTTGTCGCTGCTGCCCCTCGAGCTCGGTGTCCACCTAATTTTCCACGATAGACTTTCCCCTTTGCCCAAAATGGGGCGCAGTGTTCCACACCTGAGGGGAAAGACCCAGAAATGCCCAGTGACCCCGCCCGTGGAACCTGCGTGTTCACCACGGAGCCGGCCTCCCTGCTCCTTCCTACGCCCGCCCCGGGGAGGCGCCCGCGTCCGGGACGCGGCTGAGCCGCGGTTCCGCGGAGGCGCCGGCAGGTGGCAGCACAGGGCCGGCGCCAGGTCCTGCTGTGGGAGCCGGGACCCCTTTTCCCGGACGTTTGCAACAAACGGAGTTTTCCTGTATTTCGTACCTGTTGAGTTAAGAGGCCTTAGGCGACCCCACTTAATTTTAGGTGGAGAAATATTTTTCTTTCTGAACATTATGGAATAGATAAACGTGTTGTTTCTGAGTTCTTTATTGGATTGCCTTTAGAAAATTGTGGTTATTTTTAAGTGTGCGTGTGAAAAATCCATAATCATGGATAATAAGAGCTTTAAAGATAAAACCCAACAGATTTAATATCTCATTTCAGCTTCATTTTTTCAGTATTCTATCAGGACATCACCCCCGTGCGGAGGCGCTTGTGACTGCGTGGACCACACTGCACTGTGCCGATTTGGTTGATTTACGGTTCTGCCTTTCCAATCTGAGCCTCTCCTGGGCATTTATCACGTCTTATCTGTGGAAACATTTGGGATGTGAACGAACTAGTGAATCTGTCCTGACAGTTCATTTAGTAACTAGTGATGAAAATGTTCTGGGGTTTTATCTCTGTATAGAGACACTTGGGACTGCACATAATCAGATGCAGTTACTGCAAAACTTTGTTACTAGATAGACCCTTCATGCAGAGGAGAATGAAGAGCTCCGGAAACAAGTATGGCCAGGTGAAGAGGTGAGCCAGCAGGTGCTGGGCACAGAGTTTCCAGCAGTGTCCCCTGGCCCCAGGGGTTTCTGCGGGATCCCTGACAATCTTATCTCACGGCTAATCACACACAAGGGCAATGTGTGCTGTTCATTTGGAGACTTTCTCTCTTCTTTTGAATGCATTTCATTGACTCAATTTGGGTAAAACCCCTGAAGCATGGTTAGAAATTAGGGCACTAACTGGGTGCTTGGGCGTTTGCTGCCTGTGTAGACAGGTCAACACACAGAAGGGGTTTGGAAATGCAAAATGTGGATACATGCACCGTATGAGTTAAGGACACTGACTTGATGCCAAGGAAAGACTGGAGTTAGGTTTCTAAGGGTCTCTTCCTTCTCTATTTTTAAATGACACTATTTGTGGAAACTTAATGTGCCCAAGGTGAAGTCCTGGCTGGAGAAAGTGCTTAACGAGATTCAGGACTTACAACACTTGGCTCAGCTCCATGCTTTTTCGGCCTTGGAGTTAGAGGTAACCAGCCAGTTACTGTTTTGTTGGCAGGAGGACAGAAATGAAACAGAAAAGCCCGGTTCCTTTCCTCTTGGACAAGAAGGGATTCCTTCTGCTCTGGTGGAAAGATGTGTAGTCCTACCTGTGGTTGCTAATAGGACACTTGTGAAAAATAACAGGGTGCAGTGGTTTGGTGTTTTAAGCAATATTTTTGTTAATAATTGTGTCGTCCTGTCCTTTCCCATTGACTGACACCGAGTACGTTCCTATTGTGTTATCATGCAGTTTTTTTCACTACAAGGTATTAATAACTATCTTTACCAAGATCATCTGACACTGAACAACATAGGCATGAGCCTAAGGAGTTCTTTCTCTTGATTTAAAAATTACTCTGTCCACTGGAACTCATAAGAGCATATTTATTTCATTTATCTGTCTATAAATTTACACTAAAGTCAGTTTCATCATTTTAAGAGTTTAACCGATCCTGACAATATTTCCTCTACACAGCCATAAAGAGCATTTGTGTTTTTTTTTAAAGGCTGCATTAAACTGTTTTATGGAAGCTTTAATTGCAGCAATAGCTATAAATCAGTTTCCCACCTCCTGCCAGAGGACAGGGACATTCTTCTGTCTTATGAGACTCACTCTCTACAACCACCTCCGTTTACTTTAAGGGGGGTCTGCACTTCTTTCTCTATAATCCATTTTGTATGGAATTCCAGTTACACAAGGGGGGGATTTCTCACTTTATTTCACTTGTGCGCTTGCTGTTCCCTGAGTGTAAATGGAACTGAGGTCTGTGTGTCTGATTTAAACTCCCTCAGGCGGAGGGAAAGACAGTCCAGCATGTTGACGGGTGCTCAGAATCAGGTCTTCCGGCTTGCCAGGCCACTTTTCTAACTGAGTTCCTATCTTTTGCCTTGGAAATCACAGAAATAGTCATCATTTTATAAGGGTTCTTTTTTACCAGCCACCTTCCACTGTCAGGAATGCGGAGACGGGGTTGTCTGGGGCACGTGGCTCCCCTTGAGGCTGAGCAGGAACTCGTGTCCCCTGCACGTCCTGAAGCTGTTCACTCGCCTCCCTGGATGGTCAGGAGGGTCGGGGGCGAGAACAGCGGCTGTGTCTGCAGTGACGTGACGCACAGATGGGCGGCATCCGGGCCTGCCTCACGGAGCCGCGGTGGAGGGTGCGCACAAGACCACAGATGTGATCGTGTCTCATCTGCTTCTGCAGTGCAGGCTTAGGAGAAAAACAGATGCAGAAACCGAGGCCATGTCTGTGGAAGTCTTGGACCTATGTCATGGCCTGTAAAGGAGAGAGGCACCGGAGTAGAAGGCAGTGAGCACAGTAGGTGCTCTGCTGGCCACTCCATCGGCTGACACGGGCGCCCTGCGTGGAAGGAAGGGCTGAGAACTGACTGCTAGTGTGTGTGAAGACCTGCTCTTGTCCTGCGGAGGGGCCACACACGTAACTGTCACCAAGGCTCTTCCTGACTCGAGAGCAGCCAGAATCCGATGGGAAGGATGTCACTTCTCGGGACGGTGCTCCCTGCGGACAAGTCTTTGCGTTGAAAACAACTAGAAAGAGGCATAAAATATAATATGGAAACTAAAAACTTAGAGAAACCAGAGATGTGACAGGGCAGTGAGGCTGGAGAGAGGATCCCTGAAAGAAGGGAAATTGAGGACGGACGTGGGCCCCTCTTCCCTGCACGAGTTTAATCACATACCAGGAGCAGCTGACAAACGAGCAGCTGCATGGAATGTAGTTAAAGTGGTTGAGAAATTCAGAAAACTTACTTAAAAATCATTAAACGATTACTGAGAAGTGAAGTCTAGATGAAGGGGGGGCTGTTTCTTGGCCTGGAGAAAGCACTTTCTGAGAATAGGAATTCTCCCTAAACTAGAGCAGGTACTTTGGTGACAAGAGACTTGCTGCTCTGAAATTTATGTGGAAACAGAAAGGACCAAGGCTGTCGAAAGGTCCTGACGGAGCACAGGGGGGCCCCGATACCAAGGTCTGTTGGAGAGCAGTTTAGGGCGAACAGGTGGCTCTGCAAAGGGAGGAAACCAGGTGGGTGGAACAGGCACGAGGACACGCTCCCGGGACAGGGGACATGCTCCCGGGACAGGACAGCACACGGGACAGGGGACACGCCCAGGACAGAGGACACCCGCCCAGGACAGGGGACACGCCCCCGGGACAGGGGACACGCCCCCGGGATCGTGAGCCCCCGAGGGCGGGGCAGACAGTGGGAGGCGCCCACAGTGCCTGGTGCCGGGGGCGGGGGGCGGGGAGCGCTCGGTGAGCACCCCCGGGGACCGTCCGTGTAAGTGGGGAGCAGACGGTCGGCTTCCCGGCAGTAACGGGAAGATGGTCTTCGCCGTGGGACAGGGAAAATCTCAAACAGGGTAAAGCAGCTCGGACACAGAGGAAAAAGAACGTGTTTATCCAGGACCCGTGACGGCCAGGGGAGCCACTGCGGTGACGG